AAAAAAAAAAGCTGGGTGTGGTGGTATGTGACTGTAGTCCCAGCTATTGGGAGGCTGAGGTGGGAGAATCACTTGAGCCCAGGAGATCTAGGCTGCAGCGAGTCATAATCCTGCCGCTGCACTCCAGCCTGGGTGACAGAGCAAGACCTTGTCTCAAAAAAAAAAAGTGTGGCTGCTTCAGCTGCTTCTAACAACCTGCAATCAAATATGGGAACAAAGGAATGACCTAAAGTTGGAACTTAAAAGGAAAACAGAGAATAAAAACTTAATTTGAAGCCTGGAGAGCAATCCAAGAATATGGCCAAGAGGAACAATAACTTGCTAGAGAGATTAGCAACAATAAAAGGGAACCAGGTGTCAGAACAACTGGGGAAAAGTTTGCGAAGGCATTTCAGAAATCTTCAAGGCTACTCCTCTTATCAAAGGCCCAGAGGCCTAGGAGGATGGAATAGTTTGAAGGGACAAGCCTAGGCTCTGCTGCTGTGTGTTGCTCTTGCCTCAGGATGCTGTTCCCGGCAACCCAGCTGCTCTGGCTCCAGCCTCTCTGAAAGATGTAAGCCGTAAGCCTTGGTGAATTCCTTATTAAGTCTGCAGGCACACAGAATGCAAGAGTCATGGCTTGCCAGCTTCCACTTAAATTTCAGGAGTACTACTAGAAAGCCGGAGTGCCCAGGCAAAAGCCTGCCACAGGGCTAGTCCCCATAGCAAGTCTACTAAGGCATTGCAAAGCAGAAATGTGGGGTTGGAACCTCCCCAGAGTCCCCACTGGGGAACTTCCTAATGGAGTTGTGGGAACATGGCCACTGCCCTCCAGACTTTGAATGGTAGAACCATCAGCAGCATGCACCCTCAGCCTGGAAAAGTCACAGGCATTCAGCTCCAACCCATGAGAGCAGCTCACTTGAGCCGTGTCCAGAAAAGCTGTGGAGACAGAACTGCGAAAGGCTTTGAAAGCCCACTCCTTACACCAGCGTGCTCAGATTGTAGGATGTGGAGTCAAAGGAGATTTTAGAACTTTAAGGTTTAATGTCTGTCCTGCTGGGGTTCAGATTTACATGGGGCCTATTACCCACTTTCTTTGATTTCTCCCTTTTGGAATGGGAATGTTTACTCAGCATCTGTACCATCACTGTAACTTGGAAGTAAATAATATGTTTGATTCCATAGGCTCACAGCTCTAAGAAACTTACCTGGAATCTCAGATGAGGCTTTGGACTTTTGAATTGATGCTAGAACAAGTGAAGACTTTGGGGATGGGAGGATTATATTTTGCAATGTGAGAAGGACACGAGATTGGGGGTCCTGGGGCAGAATACTATAGTTTGGGTCTGGTTTGTTTGACCCCCACCAAGCCTCATGTTCAAATCTGATCCCCAGTGTCAGTGGTGGGAACCTAAGATGTTTGGGTCAAAGCAGCAGATTCTTCACAAATATCTTGATGCTTTCCTTGCTACTAAGTTCTCACCCTATTAGTTTCCCCAGAACTGATTGCTAGAGAGCCTAGCACCTCCTCCCCCTTCTCTTGCTTTTGTTCATACCATGCAATCTGTATACTCTGGCTCCTCTTTGCTTTCTGCCATGAACGGAAGCTTCCTGAGGCCCTCATCAGAAACAGATGCTGGTGCCATGCTCCTTGTAAAGTGTGGGGACAGAAGTGACTTTATTTTAAATGCTAATCCACCTGGCTAACCCTGAGTCCAAGAATACCTCCAAAATATTTAGTTGATTTATTATTCTTTATGTAGGAACACCTATTCATTGCAAGTTTCCTCCAAAATAATCGTTGTGTTGCAGAAATCATATGCTGTGATTCCTATAGGCACTTATACATTCTTACCAGAGCACCTATGCTTTTTCCAAAGATATAATCCCTGGGTCTGGTGGGTTATGGGGCAGAGATCTACCTGTCTTGTAGCCCCCCCACAACCATGCTTCTGTCTGTAAGTTCCCTCAATAAATCACATAATACTGACAAATTGGATTTGTCTGCCTTGTTTTCTTGACTCCTTCAGCATTTGGGGGTGGGTTTGAACATATGGCCCTTTCATGGAACATGTAGCTTGCAGAACCAAGAGCCAAATAAAACCTCTTTCTTTATAAATTACCACAGGTATTCCATTATAGCAATACAAATGGACGAAGACATTTTGTCCCTTAAGTGAGAAGGACCTTGCCAATAAGGGACTGTCTTTTAAAGTTCTTTTGATATTGAACAATGCCCCGGCCATGTAGAACTCCAGGAGTTCAACACTGAAGGCATCAAAGTGGTCTACATGCTCCCAAACACAATGTCTCTAATTTAGCCTCAAGATCAAGGGGTCTTAAGAACCTTTAAGGATCATTACACATGGTCCTCTCAGCACTATGGAAGAGAACCCTGATAGAACATCAGGAAAATCTGAAGGTATTACATCACTGAAGATGTCACTATTGTTAACAAAAAAACTCATGAAAGCCATCAAGCTCACAACAAATTCCTTGCTAAAGAAAACTGTCCAGATGTAGTGCATGACTTCATAGGATTTAACTTAAGTTTTGGGGGAGTCAAAGTTGTACATAAATTTTAGACTGGATAAGGGGGTCGACACTCCTAATGCCTTCATTGTTCAGAGATTAGCTGTACTTACCAGTGCTAAGTTGTAATCTTAACTGGTATTTCTCCAAAGACAGAAGGATATATTTCCTGTTAGTTGTTGTAATAGATACAATTATTCAGGGACAGATTAATTGATTTTTTATTTACCAAGATTAAACAAAAAAGATGGTGAATGCATGTAGATTAGGATTTAAGGTTGATAAATGAGGATACTTTGTAGTTTCCTGGCAGAAGAATGGAATGACAAATAGTAAAGGAGAACAGTTGGCTAGCAAAATATAAGATCAAGCATAATGTTCTGTTTAAACTGTCAGCAGGGATATTTAGAAAAAATAATTTGCAAGAAAAAAAATAACAAGCCCATGTTACATGAGCTTTTCCTACTATTTGGGAGAAAAACAGATGATCTAAGAAATAGAAAACAAAAACATTACTTTAGAAAAAAATCTTTAGCTCTATTTAGAGATCTCTGCAATGTTCTTTTAATTTCTAAATTATTGCTCTTATATAATGGTATATTCATGTTTACTTTTCGACACTGTCACACTCCAAAATGTTTGCAAATATTATAAAATTTTTATTCAAGTATTTTGAAGAGATGGCAAATAGATAATTATAACATCTAATAATGTTAACCAAAAACAAACCTTCCTTAAAACTTCCTTGCCATTCTCTCCAAAGTTCTCATATCATTGAATCTCCCTTCTTTTTCCTAAAAGATCTCAGCCCATTTGAGCTCACCTGTGGTTACTTCCCCACCCCTATCGATCCTATGTCTCTTCTCTTCCTCCCAAGGTAGCTCTATGCCCTTTTCAAATAAATCAAACAGCCTCTCTAGACTTTTTCCAATTTTCCTCTCTCCAGCCACTGTCCTCATAATACCAAAAAACACCCAAAGATTAACATATATTTAATATAAATAATTCTTTATAAGGCAGGAAAAGATGTGAATACCATCCTATTTCAATATTTGGATTTCTTAAAACACCTGTATTATGTTTGTACTTCTGGATAATGTTCATACAATGATGTATTCCTTAATGCTACACATTTTAAGCAAAATAAGTTCACATTAAATCCATTTTATATCACTTGTTTACTCCTTTAGCTTTAACTATGACAATTCCTTTAACCATGACTTTCTCCCACCTCAGTACCTTATCCTAGGTTCAGTGTTTCTTGACCATTATATCTCAGGAGATTTTTTCCACCACTGCTTTCCCCTAAACCCTCTTCCCTACTGAAATTTTAATACCCTGGATATACTGTGTATTTGTTACGAACTGTATGTATATCTGTGCTTTATACATAAAAAGGGGTTTGGATCATAATCCCCAAAGACACAATCCTGTATGCCACAATCCTGAATGTTGAAATCTTGAAAGATCCAAGTCCCTAAAATCTAGAATAGGCATGGTGGTTCAAGCCTGTAATCTCAGCACGTTGGGAGGCTGAGACAAGTAGATCATATGATGCCAGATTTCCAGACCAGCGTGGCCAACATGGCGAAACCCTGTCTCTACTAAAAATACAAAAAATTAGCAGGGTGTGGCGTCGCATGCCTGTAATCCGAGCTACTCAGGAGGCTAAAGCAGGAGAATCACTTGAACCCGGGAGGTGGAGGCTGCAGTGAGCCAAGGCTGCACCACTGCACTCCAGCCAGGATGACAGAGTGAGACACTGTCTCAAAAATAAATAAATAAATAAAGGCAAGGCTCTTCATATAAACATTCATTAGTACACAATCTGTGCATGTTATTCAGAGGCTTCCTGACCAAGGGGAAGCTCTTTATGCTTCAGTTACTCTCCTAGGATAGAAACAACAGTTCTATTACCAGTGTGTCCTTTGTGTAAAATGAGACTATAAATATGAAAGTGATAGGTACAGGTAGTGATGAACGTTAACATTTGGGACCTGCTCATGGGGAAAAAAATCCATCTTTCCCATCTGTGACTTCAGTCGAAAAAAAGCTGCTACTTTGATAACTTTCCTAACCCCCTCCAGTTTTTACTATAGGTCTCTGTAAATTGTCAGATGGATCTTAAGAGTTAAGCCATTTCTTTCTGATTACAGGAGAAGAAACCTAATGAATGCCAGAGATCACTTCTGTCTTTATAAGTCTAGGAACTTTGATATCCTGCTTCCCAAGTCTGGGAATTTTCACACTGCACCATTTTACTCTGTACCCTTATTATCTTGCCCAAAGCAGCATATCCAACGAGCACATAATAAAAAGAGAAAGTGAAGAAAAAAATAAGACAGCATTTTTCCTTTCATACTTGTAGGCTACAGACTGTATTCAGTGCAAGAATAAGAGACTATACTGTAAGAGTAGAAATTTTTATTTTACCAATGAAAAAGAAAAATTCTGCTACTGAATTGACCCTTAAGTCACACTCTGAATTCATACCATGCAGTTGAATTTTCCCAGTTCATCAATTAATTCCACTGAAAACAAACAAAGCTTCTGTCTATAGAAGTACAGGCCAGCTTTAACCATGATGACAATTGCTGGTAAGACTAAATTAGGAAGTGACTCTCTGTTTCAAATTCTTTTTCTTCTTGGGCACATTCTCCGTGGCCATGTGAAACTTAAAACAAAGATTGTGACTGTCCTGGCCAGAAAAGAAGGTTAAAGCTGTGTCATAGAGAATTGCAGATTATACTTCTACCTTCATCCTGTGATATCCATGTCTCTCAGAGACATCTGGCTAAACCAGGATATTCTTCGCAATAGCATTCAAAGTCCTTACTTTGGTCACATCTGTTACCTTTAGGGAGTATTCCGAGCAAGAAAGTGAGACTCCCATGGCAACAGATAAATTTCTGTAATAGAAATAATAAAGGAATAATCAATCATATGTTATTAAATGAGTCCTCCTACTGCCACTTCATTTTATAGACTATTTCATTATACAAGGGTAGGTCAAGCATGCTAGACTACTATATTCATCCATAATTTTCATTAATTAATTACTTGAAACATATAGTAGCTGAATCCACCAGACAGTATACTTCATTTTATATCTGGAATTGTAAATTCCAAGGCTCTTGCTTTTTTTTTTAAATTTAAATTACAGGTGTACATCACCACACAACAGATAATTTTTTTGTATTTTTAGTAGAGATGGTGTTTTGCCATATTGGCCAGGCTGCTCTCAAACTCCTGACCTCAAGTGATCCACCAGCTTTGGCTTCCCAAAGTGCTGGGATTATAAGCTTGAGCCACCTCACCCAGCCATCTTGCTTCTTTTACACTGTATTTTCTCCAATCATTTATAAACAGAAACATTCAACTACTATTAAATTATAAGAATCCTCTTAAGTATTTAAAAAAATCCCACATAATAGTCACAATTTCTTAAGGTAATATAACTTAAAAATAACTAAAAACAGAGAACAAATATGAAGGAAAACTAAGTATTAAAGGTAGGAGGGAGAAAAATAACTATGACTCTTCCATCCTTACACCATAGTTATTAACTTTGCTACAGGAAATCATACACAAATGGGCACATGTGCATAGCTGACTCATTCGAAGCTCAACTGTGGAATTTGTTTATTATAACTGGTCTAAGTTCAGCAATGCCTTTACAATGCAAGGTTCAACTATGTTCAAAAGAGTTTGTTTCTTTAAGACAGGACAAGAGCCATATCAGAAATGTTTTTCAACTACAAAAACAACTACAGTACTTATGTAGTAGTCACAACATTCCATTGATTAATAATGTCACCATCTTTTCCTATTTCAGAGAAGGTAAAAATTAATTTCATTCTTCTTATTGGAATCACAGAATACATTTTTACCGAAACTTCATTCCTGAGTCTCTAGCAGACCGAGCAGAACAGTGGAATTCTGTAGCACCTGAACCCTCAAGGATCCTTTGTAGATTTTTGTCTGTTATACCACCTCCTGTTGGAAAGAATAAGTAACACATTAAGTAAAACAGAATTTTGTATAACATTTAATGAATAATGATTGCTTGCTTTACTTGGAATCAACTGAATTTCCTCATTGATTCAAAAATTAGTCTCTCCCTATCAAGCTGGAATGAGATTAGAAAAGTGATAAAAGAGATATAGACTCTGGGGAAGTACCATTAAGGTTATAGAACATGTATGATAGAATCTTGTCTGTCCATTGGCTAACATAACAATGCTATCCCTGCTCGTCCCTCAATTAAAGCAAAATCAAATTAAAATGAAAGGTAAGTACAGGTTTGAGGAAAAAAATCTACAAAAGCACAACCTCAGAGATGCGCCTGAAAGAGAACCTCTAAGGTTCTGTCTCTAGCCCAGGATTTAAAGAGTACACTGACTTCACTGGGAACAGAAAAATGCAAGGTATTATACAGGTTATGAGTTATAATATCAGCTTCATACTTTATTTCACAGAAGAATCTGATTCTACTTTATTAAAACTGTACCACCAAATATTTTATGATGACATTTGTTTTGATGAACAATCTTTTAAATATTTATATATAAAGAATCATATTCTGAATTGGTGTCAGATTATAAATACGAAATTAGTTTACTCATCTTTATATCCTTATCTCACTACAGGATGTATTCAATATTTTAAATATATGTACTTTGTATCTCAAGCTTTAAAGTTGCTGAAATAACCTATCTTTACATACTCTTTGAGACTCATTAACTTGTCTTTTTTTCCTTAGCGGTACAGTAATATCACTCAGCCTTAAGAAATAGAAAAAAGGCTGGGTGTGGTGGCTCACATCTGTAATCCCAACACTTTGGGAGGTGAAGTGGGAGGATCACTTGAGCTCAAGAGTTCAACGCCAGCCTGGGCAACATGGTGAAACCCCATCTCTCTAAAAACCTACAAAAATTAGCTGAATGTGGTGGTGGGCACTTGTAGACCCAGCAACTCAAGAGGCTAAGGCCGGAGGATCACTTGAGCCTGGGAGGCAGAGGTTGTAGTAAGCTGAGATGGCACCACTGCACTGTAGCCTGGGTGACAGAATGAGATCCTGTCTCCAAAAATAGAAAAAAAAAAAGAAAGAAATAGAAAACACAAAAGCTGAGTAGATTTAGACTGAAATCTTGACTTTATCACTGTAGCTCTTCACAGCTATGTGATCTCAGATAAACTACTTAAATCCACTAACCTCAACATTTTTGCCAATAAAAGAGGGGTAATACTGCCTACCTCATAAGCCTATTGTAAGGATTAAGAGATAAATATAGTATTTCCTTCTATTCCTTCTAACAAATAGCAAAACATCTGGCCACTGAAACACATGTTGCTCAGTTAGCAACTTAAGTACATAGGTAATACATTTTTTATTTTTTTATTTTTTTTATTTTTATTTTTTTTCTGAGATGGAGTTTCGCTGTTGTTACCCAGGCTGGAGTGCAATGGCGCGATCTTGGCTCACTGCAACCTCCGTCCCCTGGGTTCAGGCAATTCTCCTGCCTCAGCCTCCTGAGTAGCTGAGATTACAGGCAAGCGTCACCATGCCCAGATAGTTTTTTGTATTTTTAGTAGAGATGGGGTTTCACCATGTTGACCAGGATGGTCTCGATCTATTGACCTCGTGATGCACCCGCCTCGGCCTCCCAAAGTGCTGGGATTACAGGCGTGAGCCACCGCGCCCGGCCAGGTAATATATTTTTCCAGACACAGACTAACACATTAAAAAGAACCCCACAGAGCTAGTTTAATATTCTTCTCTTTATAGATGAAGAAACCAGAGCTTAAGTATGTTGTAGGCTTCATTATGGAAGTTCCTAGAGGGTAACTACCTCTTTATATTTCCCAGTGATGAATACTTATTAAGCATTCAGAATGACTTACCTAGGAGTTTTTACTTGCTGGTATTTATTCACATGAAATTCTAATAAATTTGTTTATAAGTCTATTCTGTGAGCTCCCCAAGTAGGACTGATTATTTAATTTCTGTTTTCATATCTGTTACACAATTAGTATATAATATACATAATTGTCATATAATTAACATTTGCTTGGTAAGGTTTGTTAAAGAAATTAAGCACAAATATTTTTGTATGTAATATCTTCTGACCTGAGTCAGCTTCTTGAGAAAGTAGTTTCTTGTGTAGCTTTGCATCCCAGGTAATGCCTTGCACACAGCAGGTAACAATTGCTTATTAAACAAAGGTACTCAATGTCAACAATTGTCTAAGTATTATTTGTCAATACTATATACATTTTGTGCTAAATGGAAAAGTATCAACACTCAGAAAGTCTCTTTAACACTCCTTGATAAACCAAAAAGGACCTTAATTTGACAGATAACATATACTTTCTATCTGTGCCTGTTTTAAGGACTTGCTACAGGTCAAGGGCTTCCTCAATATCTGACAATACCCCTTTACATGGCCTTTTTATTTTTATTTTTCTGACACAGGGGCTCGCTCTGTTGCCCAGGCTGGAGTATAGCAGTATGATCATAGCTCACTACAGCCTTGACTTCAGGGCTCAAGCTATCCTCCCACCTCAGCCAACACAGTAGCTGGTACTACAGCAGCACACTACCATGCGCAACTCATTTTTTTACTTTTTTATAAAGAAGGTATCTCATTATATTGCCCAGGTTCATGGCCTCTTTTTAAAAGTTACTCTTTATCTAAGTGTCACTATTTTGAACCCTGGTCAGTCTTGGCATCATTAGTAGTGAGATGATCAGAGACTGAATACTTTCTGATGTGATGTCATATAAGTATGCAGAATCACCCACAAGGTATTCTTATTAAAAATGTTTAAGCTATGATTTAACTTATTCAAACCTTATGATTTAACTATTAGTTTATAGGATATACAGAGGCACGAGGAACAAGCTAAACAATATCAAGAGGAAACAATCTGATAAACTCAGAAAGCAGGACATTTTACAGGGTAAGTAGTCCAAACTTTTCATTTGATTTTATTCTGAGATGGAGTCTTGCTCTGTCGCCCAGGCTAGAGTGCAACGGTGCAATCTCTGCCTACTGCAACATCCACCTCCCTGGTTCAGGCCATCCTCATGCCTCAGCCTCCCAAGTAGTTGGGATTACAGGCACACGCCACCATGCCTGGCTAATATTTGTATTTTTAGTAGAGACAGGGTTTCACCATGTTGGCCAGGCTGGTCTTGAACTCCTGACCTCAGGTGATCTACCTGCCTTGGGCTCCCAAATTGCTGGTGTGAGTCACTGGGCCCAGCTCAAACTTTGTAAATGCAACTTTTTTAAAAGCAAGAAAAATAAAAGGAAAACCATCTATATTAAAGATATTTTAAAATACAATAGAGCTGGGTGTGGCAGTGTGCAACTAGTCCCAGCTACTTGGGAGGCTGAGATAGAAGGATCACTTGAGGCTAAGAGTTCAAGTTCAGCCTGGCCAACATAGTAAGACCTCATCTCTAAAAACAAACAAAAGATAACCAAAAATGTAACGCTTGTTCCTTGACTGGATCCTAGTTTGAACATATCAGCTATAAAAACCATTGTGGGGACAACTGGAGAAAGTTGAGTATTAAATGTTTGATAGGTGTGACAATGGACTTGTGGTTATCATAAAATCCCACCCTTTTTAGAGATGTATAAAGATAAAATGTCATGATGCTTTCAATTTAACTTTCATAAAATACCTCAGGATAGAAAAAGATGGGACAAATTTAGCAAAATGTTAAATCTAGGGAACAAGCATATGAGTATTCATAATGCTATTTTCTACTTTTTTGTATGTTTGAGAAACTTAATAAAAAGAAAAATTAAGATCATCTTTATATTTGTCTCACTCTTCTAGGTTGTATTGTTTAATTCTAATTCTTTAGAAAACTGCTCCAACTGTTCATTTCTAGTTAGCCATTATGAACTTAACTAATCTTACGGTTATCATCAGGATCATATTCAATTCTGGTTACAAGAAATAATTTGGCAATCAGAGATTTTCAGGAACTGAGAGAGTATTATATTTTACCTAAGAATGTTGCCTAAACTTTTGCTTAAACCTGTTCATTAGGACATTTGTCTCAAACACAGTATAGCAGCATCAAATTTGATGTGCCTCACCAGAGACGAACATCTAAATTCATAAAATTCTATATAATGGGAGAGCAAACATGGAAAAACCTCAATCTCTATCTACTTCCTTATTTGCTCCTCTTTGAGCTAATCCCTATTAGAATATTTTCCTTCTTATCTAAATTTTTAAATTCAAGCACAGGTCTCCTAGTCTTAAGTATTTTAATCAGACTATATATTCTCTCTGAAGATCATGTACTAATATATAATGTACTAATACTCTCTCTCACATTTTCCTGCCTCGTTTGCTCTTCTTCCACTACAGTTCAGTGTTATGCTAGTGAATTGATAGATAAATAAATACCTGGCATTACCACAATCCTGCCTTTTGCCTGAAAAAAGAAAAAAAAAGTAAATTTTAATATCTTTCTCTTGAATGGGATAATAAGGCAGTGAGAATAGAAACATGAGTCAGAATATATTAAATTTTGAAAATTACTGTAAATGCTTAATTTTCACTAGATCTTCTCTATTCCTTTGGGATCTTGGACAAGTAAAATGTCCAGCATAATAAATTTGTCTCTAGAAAGTTATCTTTTCAAAAAGTCATTTTCCCCCTGTAAGCGCCATTTCTCCCTTCCCTTCACCTATTAAAATGGTATATGAGCCCCCAATTCTAAATCATATTTCTTTGTGAACTTCTGTATGTACTGATATATATATGTACTTATGTATATGATAAAATCTGTTTTTGCTCCTGCTAATCTGTCTTCAGTCAGTGCAGGCCCCAAATAACAAACCCTGAGGATAGAAGAAAAGTTTTTCCTCCCTGACATGGTGAATAAGAGAAAGTTCCTACTCACATGGAGCTTACACATTCAAGGTAGACGAGACAATGCACAGGTATACTTATACAATAAAATTCCAGGTAGCGATAACAAGGAAAAAATAAAGCAAGGTAATGAAGGCGAGTGAAAAAGGGGAGTGGCTATTTCATAGAACTTAATAATTGTTAGAGAAATAAATGGAACAAGGATGCTTCATATTCTCAAATGGTATGAACAAAGCATCCATAAAACAAAACACTGACTACCTAAAAAGCTGAAATCACTTCAGAATGAGAAAAAGTCACATTTGCCTGTTTCTTCCAAATCAAGGCTTTCCAAAACATAGAGAAATAATATTTTTAAAGAAATAACTTTTGGCTGGGCGCAGTGGCTCACGCTTGTAATCCCAGCACTTTGGAAGGCCGAGGTGGTTGGATCACGAGGTCAAGATATTGAGACCATCCTGGCCAACATGGTGAAACCCATCTCTACTAAAAAAAAAAAAATACAAAAAATAGCCGGGCGTGGTGGCACGTGCCTGTGGTCCCAGCTACTTGGGAGGCTGAGGCGGAAGAATCTCTTGAACCCAGGAAGCAGAGGTTGCAGTGAGCCGAGATTGCGCCACTGTACTCCAGCCTGGGCAACAGAGCAAGACTCCGTCGCAAAAAAAAAAAAAAAAAAGAAATTCTATCACTTCTTTTTGCCTTCCACACAAGATTATTTAGAAGTATATGCTTACCTAAGACTAGCAAAGTGATTTAATAACAGAGCAATTACTAAGTGTCAGATGTAATAATATAGAACAATTACTAAGTGCTATAATCTGAAGAAATTCCTCCTAGTTATTCTAGGAGGTAGGTGCCATTATTATCCTAACTGCAGAAAAGCAAGTTGAGGTTTAGGATGGTCAGGTAATGTATCCATGGTCACTACTAAGTGTCAAAGCCAGGGCTTAAACACAGATTGTCTAACCACAAAGCCTATGCTTTAACTAGTATGTTACACTGCCAGGTAGTTACTTCAGTAAAGTTAATGTATGAGAATATTTGAGTAGCTCTTCCTACTAACCAATGATTAACATACAAATAACACATACACACACACACACACACACAGAGTGAACTATGGCAATTATATCTTATTCTTTACTCCTTAGTGAGTAACCTATTAAAACTGGAAAACTAATTCATCAACTCTTCTAAAACACATTAGGCCTTCCAGCTGCACCAGGAAAATAAACACTTTAGTAAGGTTTTCAAGGCTCTAGATATCATTATCTCCACATTCAATATTCTGTCCATTCCTCAGTATTTTAAGTTATGCTTGCTTTTGTTTATAGCCTTTGCTTATACTATTCCTTCTATATGAAACAATTCCACCAACACCCGCCTCCCCACTTCACCCTCACTCCCCACTGCCCCAACTTTTACACAGATAACTCTCAAACATCCTTCAAATGAGGGTAACACTGCAGTCTGAATATCTTTTCTTCTGGTAAGCTTCGTCTAATTATTGCCAACCTTCATTTCCCTAAATTTGAGGGTAATTCCTCTCCAATGTACTCCTACAGTACCTTTTAAAAATAGAGCTGTATTAAAATTGCCTGCTCTATTAGAAGTGCCTGTTCTGCACTAAATGGTAAGAGCAGTGACTACACACAGGCACTTGCCCCTTGGTTACTACCACAGTACCAATGTCCTGCATCTAATATACATTTAATAAATGTTTGTCAAACCGTTATAACCCAGAATAGCAAAGTCACGTCGGCTCTTCAGGAGAAATTTCTGAAAATTATTTTCATGGCTATAGAAAAGTGAAAATAACAAGATGTCTACACAGGAACATTAATACTGTTATTTATAAGAGCAGCAATACAATGAAATAGTATACAGCAATGAAGATGAATGAAATATAGTCACATTCAACAGCATGGATAATTCCCACTGGTTTGTATTGAGCCAAGGAAGCTAGACATAAATACTACATATGATTTTATTTAAATTAAATAAAATTCAAAAACTGGCAAGTCTAATCTATGATAGTATTAATCAGGAAAGTGGCTATTTTGGGGGACTAGGGAGGCATAGTTTTGCAAGACAGAAGAGGCAGGCCTTCAGAGGTGCTAGTAATGTTTTCTTTCTTGACCTTCATGGGAAAGAATATTAAAAGGTATGTTTGCTTCCTGATAATCCAAAAAAAAAAATAGCAGCAATAATAGAACCTAACATTATTAAGACCTACTATATACCAACCACTGTGCTAAGCCTCCTACATATCTCATCTCTAGCAATCTTCTGAGAAACTCTACAAAAGAAGTATTAAACTCATCTCAGTTTCACACAGGGGAAACAGAGGCTTAAAGATTAACCTACTCAACATCACATAGCAAGTGTCAAACCTGAGTCTCAAACACATGACTCCTATCTCAAAGTCTATATTCACTAATTTATAATGCTTCTGGACTGATGTCAGAAAAACATAGACATACTATAATTACAAAGTCATCCTCTGAGTGCTCTACAAATGATGCCAGCTCACCAGGAGAACTCATAAAAGAGAAACATATATTTCCTTCTATATTGACAGATAGGAAGAAATAAGATTATAATTTTGGTTTTGGAATTTATCTCCAGATGATAATTTCATATGGGATCCCCCGAATATACATGGGCTGTATAATGAAATATTGAAATTCCCTGAATATACATGGGCTGTATAATGAAAAGATGTGGCTTAAAACTGCAATGCTGGCTGGGTGCAGTGGCTCATGCCTGTAATCTCAGCACTTTGGGAGGCTGAGACTGGCAGATGGCTTGAGCCCAAGCGTTCAAGACCAGCCTGGGCAACATAGCAAGACTTTGTATCTAAACTAAGAAATGAAACTGTAATGCCAATGGGAGAGGAAAGGTAAAATCTGCTCTGCTTATCCAAGTTAGATCAGATCTCTAGGCACTATTGATGTGTAATTTGATAATAAAAGCCTTGATGATTAAAAAGGCTCATGTGAAAGAAGTAAGAATGATATACATTATTGCCTGCTTGCTCTTTCCTACAGAGTAATCACAAGGTCAGTAATATACAGTTTTACAAACTGGCTAAACAGAATGTCAAGAGTAACTACAACAGAGTCTTAGAGGAAAAAAGAGAAATTCCATGTACCTGCTCTATGAGTCGCTTTATTAGGGGTAGCCCTTCTAATGCTGAGCTGTCACATCCACTGGTTAACACTCGTTCAAATCCCAAGGTTAAGAGGGTCTCCAGAGCTGCCATTGGATCATGAACCATGTCAAAGGCTGAAATAAATAAAATTGATGTGAATTTTGAACAGATATCCTTTAATGCACTGCTTCCCAAAATGTAGCATACATGCAGTGGCAGGCAGGACCTAGCTTGTGTGGCTTACAAAGGCCAATTATTAAACACTCAATAATTCTGTAAGTCAGATTGTTAATCCACTGGCAGCCTGAAATTAGTGAAGGTAGGGCCAGGTGTGGTGGCGCATGCCTATAATCCTGGCACTTTGGGAGGTGGGCAGATCACTTGAGCCCAAGAGTTTGAGACCAGCCTGGGCAACATGGCAAGACCCCATATCCACAATACAAAAATCAGCCGGGCATGGTGCTGTGCATCTATAGTCCCAGCTACTTGAGAGGCTGAGATGGGAGGATCACTCAAGCCTAGGGAGTTGAGGTTGCAGTGGGCTGAGACTGCACCATTGTACCCAAGCCTGGACGACAGAGCAAGACCCTGTCTCAAAAGAAAAACAAAAATTTAATTAATTTTAAAATATTAGTGAAGGTAGAGTATTTAAACCACAGAAATTTAAAAATGCTACAAATCAGGGCTCTTTTTTCTAAGAGCCAGTTTATCAGCACACCACAGTCTGCATACCACCACTGTGCATGTAAATAATGGTACACGTTTAAAGAGGTATATTTACTTAAATGCAGATAAGAAATGAAAAGTTTTCAATTTACAGTAGTTATAAAAGTTTCTATTGAAAACAACTTAAGATTTTTTTCACATTTTTTTAGGCTCAGGGGTACAAGCATAGGTTTGTTATACAGGTAAACCCATGTCTTGGGAGTTTGTTGTACAGATTATTTCATCACCCAGGTATTACACCTAGTACCCATTTAGTTATTATTCCTGATCCTCTCTGTCCACCCACCCTCCACCCTCAGAAAGGCCCTAGTGTGTGTTGTCCCACTCTATGTGTCCATGTGTTCTCACCATTTAGCTCCCACTTATAAGTCAGAACATGTGGTATTTGGTTTTCTGTTCTTGTGTTCATTTACTAAGAATAATGGTCTCGAGCTCCATTTATGCCTCTGCAAAGGACATGATCTTGTTCTTTTTTATGGGTGCATACTTAAGATTTTATTTAAAGAAAATCATTAAATAAATGTGCACAGGTAGCACTCATATATGGTAAAATTTTAAATGCATAAGGATAGTTGTTTTCAACAGACTATATGAAGTTTCAATTCCATCCTACTAAAGACTTCTACCCTCCTCAGAGCCCTCAAAGAGTAAAGTGGTACCAGGAAACTGAAAACAAAAAACCCACATCTGCTTTGGTTCTCACGCTGCTACATAATATAGAAGTTCTAACCTGTGGTGGATTAGGTGGTAGTGGTCCTCTAAATGAAGTAGACCCCTTCATTTCACCCTTTAATGTAGGCAACTAAATCTACCACAGAGGATCCACCTGTTTTGGTGGCAGCGCCTTCTCACCACTATAACAATATTATGCTATCTCATTAAATACATGAGTGAAAAAAATGTGGAACCCAAAAATTCTACAAATTTTGAAAATAGGAAAATATTTTTGCTAAACCTATTGGAATAAAGAAACGAATAGAAATTTGAAGTAAAAAAATTTTTTTTGGCTGTAGACTTCTTTTCACGTGCAATGGCAGTGCTCTCTGAAGGCAAAATAGACACTTGTTCTTCCATTTAACCAAGAAGTGGCCAAAGAGCATAGAAATCATAATGACCTGATTTTTTGGCTGGGTGCGGTGGCTCACACCTGTAATCCCAGCACTTTGGGAGGCCAAAGCAGGTGGATCATGAGGTCAGGAGTTCAAGACCAGCCTGGCCAAGATGGTGAAACTCTGTCTCTACTAAAAATACAAAAATTAGCCAGGTGTAGTGGCAGGCACCTATAATTCCAGCTATTAGGGAGGCTGAGGCAGAGAACTGCTTGAAGCCAGGAGGCGGAGATTGCAGTAAGCCAAGATTGTGCCACTGCACTACAGCCTGGGCAACAGAGCAAGATTGCATCTCAAAAAAAAAAAAAAAAGAAAAGAAATTATAACTAACTGGTTTTTTTATAGGAAATATTTCTTTATAAGAAACTGTCACATTAAAAAATCATTGTGATGCAGATAAGCTATAACGAAAAACAATTTGTATACCATAGTGGACATCTGTTGACTACATAGTCAATATTAGACAGCATCTGTTTCTCCTTTCTCCCTTCCTAATAATACCCAATTTTTCTCCAGATCCCCAACTTTCTCTTCCCTTAGGAAGTTTCTATCTGTGAAACTTCACCTCAGTGCTAACCCCAGGGATAGTTTTGCCTGGCTTAAGATAGGCAGTACATTTCATTTCACCAGCGACAACAATTTATTCTTTTGGGGTTGTACATGACCTAACACAATCTTAGTTAAAATGAATCTCAGGATTCTTGCTTGGAATGCTATGATAGGATTCTTGCTTGGAATGCTTGCTTCAACGCACTTGAAGGCAATACTTATTCCATCCCTCTCTCTATTACATCCCACCACTACCAACATCTTTTAACAACTTTTCATAACCAAGGCTTCAAATTTTCTAGAGACTGCACATCTCTCTTTTTATATCTTCTAGTCCCAGAATCTAAAAAACCAGTTGGTAACCTTGGAACACTACAGAATTGTGTTCCATAAAAATGTTGTGGCAGTTGTTGACATTAGAAAACTAACACTGTTCAACAGAACTTCTAAAATGAAAATGACTCACCTCGGTGGAAAGTGACAGGCAGAGGACGGCAAATAGCTATAAAAAGAAAGTCACATAACAACATGAAGAGGTCACCACTGACTACTACATACAGAATTCTCCATGTTAGCTGAAACTTTTTAATACCTTCTCCTAACAAGACAGTAAACTAACATAATAACAAAATGGCAGCCTTAAAAATTCAAATGTCTTATCTTTCCACAAATCTCTGATTTTTACATAAAAAATGGTTATGCCTTAGCACCAAATGAAAATCATTTAAACTGACAACCATAAGGATAGCATTACATCTATTACTTGCCCCTCTGAGGACACTTAAGAAATACTTTGGCCTAGTAATATAGGTAGTTTGCTTCTGTCCCCTTCACATCTTCCAACTTGGTGGTCCATCCTCATCAGCTATAATAGCTTTTGAAGTTCTTGGTGCAGTAATTAAAAGAACCATGGTAAATTTCCCTTAAATTTCTATTCTATGAGAACAGTAGCAGAACCTAATCTATAGCAATTAAGGTGAGTTAAGAAGGCTTTGCCATACATACACCCCACCCCAAACCTCTAAATAACTACTGTTTGAAATACTTAGGTTAGTATAAGTGTCTGTAGCTATGACTGCAAAATCAGTTTTGTGATGATGTTTTTCTATATTGGGAGCATAAATACAATTATCATTAGAGGCTTTTAGGTCGTAGATACAAATTCTTACCCATAAGGGACATACACAGCTCTTTGTCAATGTGTCCATCTTCAGTTAATGCCCCAAATACCAAACCATCAGCACCATAAAGCTTGGCAAGACGAATGTCAGCCTTCATCACCTCAATTTCACGATCTGAATACAAAAAATCACCTCCACGTGGCCGAATCATCACAAAAACTGGGATCTGAACACTCTGCTTCACTACTTGAAGGACACCTACAAGAAAAGAAAGCAGACTAAAATTATGTGAGCTAAAAGCTCAAGGAAGCCAATGATATATTATTGGTCATTTATATTAACTCTTGTATATTACCTCCAAAAGAAAAAGGTGGAGTTGACTAAGGAAACCAGAGAAAGATAGCTCTAAAAGGAAGGAGGACACTAAGAAGAAAAATGTATATATGGTAGAAGGTAAGTAATAGCAAAGGGTTAAACAGAACAATTTCGAAAACAGAAGATACTACAATTTAAAAGCACTTGTCAGTTGACTCAACAAAAATCCTTATGACTCAGAACCCTTTTATTGGTATGTGACATTTGAAAGTGTAATAACTGCCAGGCTCAATGTTCTGCCAGTACATTATTCCCCAAGATTCAATTTCTTCTCTCTAATTAATTACAGCTCTATTTAAAACCTGCTAGAGAGATGGTTAAATAGCTTCAAAGTTCATATTCCTTTAATGGACAAAGAGATTGAGCAAAACCTTTTTTTTTTTTTTTTAACAAGATATGTGAAAAGGAGCAAAGTTCTACTTGTGATTTTATGCAGAGAGCTATGCATAAAAGCACCTAACCATGCCATAATATGTGGCTAGCTCATAAACCATCAATAGTATAAGGCTGTGACAAGCTCCATCACTTGTTTACCCAGTATGAATTTCCTTTTTTCTTGCCAAAAGAACCCCAATTTTGCATGGAATAGCAGTTGTCCAACACCAAGCAATGAATTATAGTTGGTGTTACAGAAACAGACTGTACTCAAATTTACAGACATGCTCTAGGGATTTTAGAATGGCTAGAAATGCCCTCTTTTAGTGGGAAGATTCCAAAGGGCTGTTGCAGATACAAACCTTTTACATTAAATTATGCTATTATCTACCTCAGAGTAGCATAGCTTAGGAGACTAAAATTCATATAAGGACTTCTGCTTTTGGCCAAGACAGAGTAACAGTGACTGGATTTACCTTCCCACCTATAATAATAATAATTAAAAATTTAAAAAGACAAAATATATGAAACAGTGGTTTGCAACACTGGACAGTGAAGGGCAATGATCCTTGAAAGTGGTAAACAATGAAGTCAATAAGTCGATTCTGATTGAAGCAATTTACTGCCTTGAGAATTTCTAAGCCAAAGCACAGGGATGGGGGACCTACATGGAGCCAAAAGAATTCCCTGAGTTGGGCCGGGCGTGGTGGCTCAAGCCTGTAATTCCAGCACTTTGGGAGGCCGAGGCGGGTGGATCACGAGGTCAAGAGATCGAGACCATCCTGGTCAACATGGTGAAACCCCGTCTCTACTAAAAATACAAAAAATTAGCTGGG